TGTTAGTGAAGGGTGGTTGAGTTAGTGATTAGTTGTCTAAGCTATGCAAAGGAATTGGTGAGTGAAAGGGTTAAGGTCTGGTGTTAGATTAGATGAAGTTGAAGTTGATGAAGGAGTTGTAGGTTGAGTGTCAGTTTTCATTAAGTAATCTTGAATATTTTCAATAGTTTCTTCTGAGGAGTTGGTTGGGGAGTTTTGGGGGAAAAACGATTTCTTGTGAGGGGGGGAAGAGAGGACTGGTGTCAAGAGTACGGGCAAAGGATGATCGGGATGATGGGGGTGATTGTGTGGTAGGGGAAGAGGGGGTGGAACGTTTGTTCTGTCTGTTACGGGTAGTGCGAGGAGGGAGAGGGGAAGGTGTTGGGGTTGTAGTGGTGATTGGAGTATCTGTAGTAGAGATTAGAGTGTCTGGATTTTGGATGGCAAAAGAGTTTGACTGGGGAAGGTAGGAGGTAGAAGTGGGGGAGTTAGATGTAGGAGGGGTGGGTTTAGGAGAAGTGTTAGAATGAGCAGTATTACTGGAGTAAGGAGTAAGAGAGAAACCACGTCGATCGTGCTTCCTGTCTGGCTTCACGTAGTGTGAGTCCAAGTTTGAATCTGAGAGTTGCTACCTAAGACTCAAATTTGTAGGTGGGACAGCCCCTATAAAATACATTATGGGGGCCGCCACAGTTGGCACATGTGCGTGAGTTGTGCAGAGCAGTTAGATCGGGATATGGCCAGGTTGGGCACATAGTGGACATCTGGCTGTGGAACGGCAATGTTTGGCTGGGTGTCCTAGATGCCAGCAATTTTGGCACTGATAGTGGAGGAGGTTGGTATGGGCGAGCAGGGAGGGATTCTCCTCCTATGTAGATGTTAAAGGGAAGGTCATGTCTATGGAAGGTAATTTTGGCGATGTTAGTGGGTTTCTTTACGATGACCTCTGGGAGGGAATGGAGTAACATTGTACTGATGTCGCATCATAGTTTGTGAGACAGGCAAGTAGGTCTTCTCCACAATCTGACCAATCTTTGTCCTAGATTGGGCAATTTGCTGGGGAGATTGAAACTGTTCCAGTGCAAGTATTGAGGGTTGGATGGGGTTCTGCAAGGATGGGGTTACCATATAGGTCAGTTAGTTTTGTTAATACTATAGCTTGGTTTTTGGATGTTACTGTGACAAGACGGGAGCGGTCGGGTCAGCTACGGAAAGAGACTTTGCCTACTTGTTTTTGGAGTCATTGTTGGAAGAGAAGGGTGTTATCAGAGTAGGGAGTTGTGGGAGGGATCACGAAAAATCGGTCCCATTTGGCTGCGCTAAAGAGAGTATTCAAGGTTGTTGTAGAGATAGGGGTAGTAGAAGGGCGGGGGCGTGACGAAGATGGAGTAGCATTGAGGGAGGTAGTGTTATGGAGAGGTGGGCTATAAGGCTGTAAGGTATTAATAAGGGAGGATGGGGTGGTTGATGTTGGAGGTTGTGGGGGTAGAGGTGTTGAAGTTGAGCATGCTGGGAGAGTGGAAATGTTCCTTGAGGGTTGATTGTTGGCTACTGTACTAGTAGGCATTGATGAGGGGGTAGTTATTGCAGTGTTCGGAGCCATGGTCAAAGGAGAGCTTGGGGTCAGGGAATCGGGTGGGTTTACTTCGTTGGGGCTATTTGATAAAGGGGCAAGCCTCATTGCCCCTAATAGTGGGGATATGTTTTCATTACTGGCCATGGTAAGCCTGGATTATGTTGGGGATAAAAACAGTCCACCCCTCAGGGTCACCTTGAAGGGTAGGGGCTAGGTATAAATCAGGGGAATACAGTGCCCATGGCTCCCTCAGGCTGTTCAGGACTGGCACAAAGTCCGCCTTTCATCCTTTCAGCACGGCTCTCACACCTTAGGAGGTGGATAGCAGAAGGGTTTGGTGAAGGGACAGAAACGAAAAGTGGGAAGGGAAAAAAAAGACCATGCAAAATTAGTTGAGTCGAGGGCTGAGTCCCAAGGTCCCTCCTAAGCCTCCCCACGACAACAACGGGCAAGGAATTGGGGGGGGAGGGAGACTTTACGGAATGTACCAAAATAGGCCTACCGCCTGTGCATCTTATTTCATTCTGTGATCAGTATCAACATGCATATATGGTCGATCTTTATAACGACTATCACTCCTGCATTCGCCACAACAGCAATGTTTTGTTGCACCAACTTTTTTTTCCCCCCCGTTTCATCTCTCGTTTTCGTTTTCCCTGCCTTTTGTTCGCTTTAAGCAGGCTTTTGGCCTCGCAACTGGTGGTACTTTTACAATCAATGAGTATATTCAATGTTTTTAAAGAATTCAGTCATGCAGAACGCACCTTTAAGGCTTTAAAACGCTTAAATATACCAATCGACTCACTGTGTCATTCACTACTATGGGAAATGTCTGTAAGAACTTTTACTGCACATGCGCAGAGCCCAGTGCATGACTCCTTTAAGCACGGGAGCCAGTGCGCGGATCAGCGTTATTCACACAACCCTACAGGTGCAATCAGATTT